TAGCTATAGGCTATGTGATGTACATATCTATATCCAGATTATGTGATGTCGTAAGTATCTATATTTAGGCTATGTAAGGTCGTACGTATCTATATTTAGGCTATGTAAGATCGCACGTATCTAAATCTAGACTATTTGATGTCGTACGCATCTATATTTAGGCTATTCCAAGTCGTGCGTATATATTTGTAGACTATGTGTTTCGTACGTATATATATCTAGTCTGTGTTAGACTTTATGTATCTGTACCCCGGCGATGTACGCCCAGGGGATTATAAAGACGCATGAGTGCGTGTTTCTGTTGATATATTGCGAGTTGCGCAAACTGTCATACTCGCTAATGTAGTTGGCACCTGGAACGTGCCAAGGGACGTATCTCTGGGAAGATGGGCTTATGGGGTGGATTCATGATCCTGTACAATGGGTGATATGTTGACAAGAGCTCGTTGCAGTCCTTGTGCTTTATTGGAGTACATAGAGAGCGGGGAGAAAGATACATTCAGTGAGCAAACTGCAACGCTTCACATCGTACGGGATACCGATATGGTGCTCTCTATTGGTTGACTCGTAACATATACGTATGTATGCGTGCCTGGATATACGAGTGTTGAGTCCTTATACGCGTTGTGTGAGGTCACTTCGTGGCGCATATCTGCCACACTGAAACTCGTACATTCAGGGGTCACTGGGTCGGTTGTATGCACCGAACAGTGGGCCTTTTAAAGGATGTTTTTTTCATATGTATGTAATCTAAAGGATATCTAATCCGTATACGAGTTTTCCGCTTGCACCGCGACCTGGATAAACCGCTGCCACACGCGTGCATAGTTGAAGTGATACTTGAACAGATACTGACTGACTTGTATTGGACTATATATCCACAGCATATATGTTGTCATGGAGTACTGTCACCACGACCTGGGCAAGCTCCTAGCACACATGCCTGTGGCATTTCTGGAGTCAGAGGTCAAATGCCTGGTGCTGCAGTTGCTCGAGGGTGTGCGTTACTTACACAGACGGTTCATCATCCATCGGGATCTGAAGGTGTCCAATCTCTTGCTCACAGACAAGGGCATCTTGAAAGTGGGTGAGTATATGAGCGTTTGATTATGTGCTATGAAGCAACTGCCTCGCTTGCTCTTCGTTAAGCGGTACTTGACAATGATTCAGAGTATGCGTTTAGGATATGCCTGTGCTTGTTCGTACGTGTTTGGGCTTGGGTTATCGGCCAGAGTCTTTCTTGTGACTAGAGATATGGATGAGAACATGGCTTCAGTAGTAGTCTCGAGATACGACCATTGTCAGTTGAATGTGTATATTTAATATCTATGTTCTTTATGCATGAAGTTGCAGTGCTGCCTGGCAAGTACACTTGTGAGCCATACATTTGATCGCATTCAGTTGCAGAAGGAGCACGAGATCGGTGTGATCATATCCCCACTCGATTCGCGAATATTCAGGCTTGCATGCCAATAAACATCATGAAGCAATCAATCTGGCACCTAAATGACGTTATGTGTGACAGCTACTATACGCTACTGCTGGGTATATACACGTTGTGCTCTCCTTTGGCTCATCTGCAGCCCTGTATGTATTTCTTCGTTTTGTCTTTTGTCATACTCGGAGACACAGCGTCTTCAATAACGAGTAGAATAATGAGATCCTTCCTTCATTTCAAAGAATAGAAAAACTCAACCATACAAATTTTAGTAGCTATGGTGTTTTGACGCCCATATTAGGAGATAATCGGTGCTCACTAGGTAGCTAGTCCGGGCATGCTTTATACACAATTTGTTCTAACTTAAAGAATATACGGTATGGCTTTTCGAAACTATAGCATTGATCATTTGCATGATTTTATCTCCATAAAACCATTCGCCAATTCCATACAACACTCTCCTTCAGCAGAACATTGTTAGTGTATTTGGGCTGGATGCCCTTGTACACCAGGAACAATGGTCCATGCGGCAGTTTAAGTAATAGACTGGTCGCATGAAGAGTTTATCTCGATCTCGAAGTGCATAGCATGACTGTACCGAACTACTAGCTACAGACGTAATGAAGGATCTTACAAAGTCGAGGATACACGGATATACACTAGCATGCACATGTACCACTCACTACTATGGTCTGAATCCGAACTCTTGAGCCCTCGCTGGCTGGATTGCTTTTTTCTATGGCCATCTCAGACCAATAGAGTGAGTCGATTTATCGGAGATGCAAATCGATCTGGAGGAATATACATGTTATAGATGTATACTATTTTGCATTGAGAGTTTTCAGTTTCCAGCAATATTGTATACACTAAACCCCGATGTAGACCATTAAAATATATACCGTCGACAAAACGTTGATATCTTGCTGATGCGACAATTTGTAGATTAGACTGACGTATGACTTTGTTGTGTTACACCAGACATCTTCCAGTTAAATGTGTGTGTGTGTGTGTGTGTGTGTGTGTGTTTATGTGTGTGTATGTGCACATAAATATATTATTTCG